AAATCAATCGGAGAAATTATTAGGTTATTATTTTTAAATTTTTTTTTCGTGAATAATATTTGAACCATAATAATTTTAAATATTTGCATAAAAAACACATCTACATCTTTCACGCTTGTATATTTGTAATCAATATTGTAGTATAATAATATTGTTTTTCGTATATTATGTTTTTTTAGAAGAAGAGAACATCGAAAAGTATTTGTCTGACCTCAGCGGTAATTAAAAATAATAAATATTTAACCTTATCAACATCTTTTTTAAACAATTGTTTTATCTTAATATTTTAGATGAACTTTCTGAATTTAATTTAAATGTATTGTTTGATGAATACAAAATGGAAGAAATCTCTAAAAAGGACATTTGTAAGAGTCACAGTTTTTGGTATCGAACCAAAAGAAGAATTAAACAAATAATATTCAGTGCATAAGCTTGTAACGGAGTAGTATAACTTTTATATTATAATAATTAAAAATACATACATTCAACTCATCTTTATATATCATAGAAAACGAGACATAATTCGGGGTAAATGTATTACAATATTTGATAAAATACAATATGTTCAAATTAATTTATATATTTTAAAAAACGCGACATAATTCGGAATACCTAATATATATATTTCGCGTTACAATAATAGGCGATTTATTATTATTAAATATATTACTATATTGGCTATTCGTGAATAGTCTCAATATATAATGACTGTGCAATATATATAGCACTGTTGCGTATCTATGTAAGAGCCTATATAATATAGGGTGTTCCAAATTTCATGTGACAGCAGATTTCAGCATGATATACTTTAATTATGAAAAAATGACCTATGTGAAAACCTTTTTGAATCATATAAGCTAAAATAATTTGATATAAATTATTTTTTTTATTAATTAAAAAGGGGAAATTTTAGGGGTAACTTTTAAAATTCAAATGGGAACATATATTTTTGAAATATGATTCCTATACGATTTATTTTTTAATGAATTTTGATGTATCATTAATAATTAAAGAAGTTATTAACATTTGAATTTTGTATTTTTAATTTATAAGATGCCATCAATGAATCATAATAATAGACATTTGTACTTCTGTTATACGCCGATGCATTCTTATACAACCTTAATAATCTTTATGCTATCTAACTATCAATTTATTATAGTTATAAAACGTATGTTTGATATTTTATTTAAGCTTAATATATTACATAGTTAAAATCGCATCATTGTATTGAAAATAAAAAAAAAAAACAACACATTAGATAACAATATAATATACCTACATAATATTACAATATTACAATACGTAATATATTGTATATTGTTCTATTTATAATCATAACATAATATTTATTATTTATAATATAAACTTATAAACAAATAGCATTTATACCAAATTGTTGTATAAATTATATTATACAGCATACAATTATTTAAAATTTATACAAATAGGTACCTGTATTTTTCGATTAATTTAGGTACCTAAATACATATATTTTTTAATTTAAATAATAGGTAATAACTAGGGCCCGGAAGTTCACGCATTTACATGTTTTTACGGAGTGCATAAAAACGTTGCTGGATGAGATAAAAATTTGAATCACAATCTACGAGTTCCAAAATAAAATTTTAATGTACATATTTTCGCATATTTTGAGGTTTATTAAAAATATAAGAATACTTTAAAATACAATTGCATTTTACTGTATTTTAGTGTTATATTTTTATAATTAATATTTCATGATAATGTCGTACTTTGAGTTTATTTCAAAATGTATTTGTTAAAAAATATGTCCTTTTAACGTCGTTAATATAAAATGAAAACCTGATTAAAATTAGTATCATTGCTTAGTCGGACTGATAATTGTCATTCATTTGTATTTAAAACCCTTACAAAATTTTCAAAATCCCTAGTTGTAAATTTTAATTCTTGAAGTAAATATAACA